TTTGAGCCAGCCCTACCCCCAAGGGCTGTAGGGTTGGGCCCAAAGGAGTCAGTGTGCTAAAATTTCTTCATTTTCCTTGTTTAGAATCAGAGGTGCTAGTTTCAAATACTTTTTAGTCTTAAATCTGTATGCTAGATATTGAATAAGGTGGTTTTATTGTTTTTTGTCACTTTGAATAATATTTCTGTTCGTGTTAAAAACAAAATCAACTCTCTGTATAAATATATCAGGTGACCGTTAAAGCCATTGGGCCTCTTGTTTGGTTTAGTCATGTTTTTGTTAATTTTGTGCCATGCTTATGTGCTTTATGTTTTGAGTTGTTGATGTATGTACAAAATCCATGAAATATCGTTAATGATATCAGCTGTTATGACCAATGTGAGTTCAGAAATGATAAAATAGGCACACAATACTAATGTGAGGGCATGTTAGATAATATCTGGAACATAAAGGTATTCACTAAATGGATGATGTATGTATGCTTTACTGACTGGTTGACCTTTGACACTTCCTCCAGGAGTTGATGATTCAGCAGCTAGAAGATGAGATCTCACGTTTGAGACAGCAGGCCCCAGTGCCAGAAGGGTCTGTGGATCTCAGCTGGAATGGTCCCACCAAGAATTCCACAGTGGAGCTACAGGCTAAACTGAAGGTTGCAGCAAAACACATTGCACAGTTAGCAAAGGAGAAACAACAGCTCATTGAAATGGGTAATCGTCTGAGAGCAGACCTCAAGAAAGCAGGTAAGACACTGAGAAAAGAATTGAGATAGATCAAAGTACAAAAGAGGTTTAATGAACATCATCACAGTAAAATATCTTGTCAATTAAAGTTGTGCAAGCAAGACGTGAGAATATATACATCCTTTCTATGACATATACTACTAGGGAGATGTGATAGTCTAGTGGTAGGACGCCGGGCTCGTGACCGAAGGGTTGCGGGTTCGAGGCACGGCATGGCACTGTGTTGTATCCTTGAGCAAGATACTTTACTCCACTTGTTCCAGTCTACTCAGCTGTAAATGAGTACGTGGTTGGACAGTGCTAGAATTGTAGAATGCTAACTGTGAGCGCCGAAATGGCAGCACCGGCTGTATGCTCTCCAGGGATTTGTGAACGATATTGGCTGGTTGCAAAGGCCCTATTACCACAGATAATAATTTGTTAACCGCTTTGAGACAACCTACGAACTAGGTTGTGATAAAGCAGTATATAAGAACCTCAAATTATTATTATTACTAAACTTTAACATACCTTACTGTAACATATACCTTACTTTCATATAGTTCCCCACTTTGACATATATACCTTACTCTTTAGGAAAGCATCTAGTAGCTTCCGGGCTGTATGCAGTCCTCGTTAAAGAAATAAAGAATTAAATTGAACTCTTACCATACCATATAAGTTACTTTGACAGGCTATTGAACTATGACACAGGCCTCTTTTTTATAAAAAAAATCAACAAAAAATTGTTACACATCCTTTCTGAATGGTTATTGAATAAGTTGATGATCCTTTTCTAGTTTATACTTTATTTTATTATCGGTATAATATTCCAGTAATACAAACATGATATACATTTAGGATTTGAAAAGTACTTCATCAGAATTTTAAATAGTTTACTACTGGTAATTTCTTGATCTGAAGGGGTTCATATAACATGTGCTTTACAAAGTACTTAATGAATGTTAATCCGTCTCCTTTTTGTAAAACGGCACTTGGGCGGCACTGACTAATATTATGCATATAGATATAAGTATTTGGAAGAAAAGAGGATTGGGAAGGAAGAAGGGAAAGAGGTGCAAAAGGGTTTTAAACAAAGTGTTGTTGGGTTCCCTTTTTGAAAGGTATACAAAATGCAAGCATTTGAATGATGATACAAGACTAAATTAAACATAATAATTGAGATCAAGCTTACACAAACTACAAATTACAATGTGTTAAACACCAGATATATACACTGTTAACTCATTTCTGTTTCATTTGAATAGGTGTGAACCCTTCTCATGGTCCTCCAACATCTGTTGCCTCCACTAACAATCAGAATGTCATGTCACAAGAGATGCTTAGTAGACTTGGTCAGCTAGAGAGTCTACAATACCAGCTTACCAGACAGGTACGTTGTTACATTGTTTAAACACACTGATATTTTAAATGTTTGTGTTTGTTTGAATGTTGTTAAAAGCTGTTCTTATTTTACACCATATTCTATGTTTTCCAGCAACTGCAATATGCACAGAAGTTTCCACCAACGAAGCATGAGGAGAGAGATGTTGATTCTGAAGTTGAGGGGAGACCACCATCCATCCTCAAGAAGTCTATAGGTCTCTGTAAAACTACCAAAATCTACAATACTCCCAGAAGTCTGGTCTCAAATAGACTGGTTATCCCGCTATCTGGCCAGTCATCCTTAGGAATATTTCTTGCATATTAAATTTGACAATTTGGTCCAGTTGTCCCAAACTGCAGCTCTGGCCAACAACTTTGTGGAAAAATGATATTTATCAATTTGTTCAGGCAGATGGTCAACTGGTGACGGGCCACAAAGATGAACTTAACAAACCAAATAGTCATCAAACCACTTGAATAATGATGTTGCAAGAAAAATCTAAAAGTCTAAATTCATGTCACTAAAACATACTTAGTAGCTTTGTGACTAACTTGTTTCACTTTTCCCTCCAGACTTTGCCGAGACTGACGATATCATAGATGTACGAGCTAGTCACGATACACTAGACTCACGGAGGTCTGGGATCACCGACTCTTCCAGGGCACCATCCTATCAAGGGAATACTTCTCAGACTCGAGAACAGTTCCTGATGAGCATGTCATCTGTTGGTGGCGAATCTCTCCAGGAAATCTGGAAGATGATGGAGGAGAGACCGAGTCCGAGTCCATTCACACCTCATTACCTGGACAAACATGGTAGGGTGGCAGCAATATATCATTTTGAACTTCAATGTAAGATAGGTTTCTGTTTTTTTCTGTCAATCCAAAATCTTTCTTGTACAAAGTGAATTTTGACGAGTTGTAATTAATGTTTAAATGAAAGATGAACTATATTTTCAAATACGTGGAGGTTTGGAACTTTGGAAGTTCCCATTACTATGGTTGTACTGTATTAGGAATCTCTCAATATTTGTATTAATACAAGGTTGTCGGTTTTCTGTTTATTACAGGTGAATACCCGACCAATAATTCTAATCAAAGTCTGGATAGTTCAGGAGAGCTTGTTCTAAAAGGGAGAAAACCTAGTATGGTAGTAAGAAATAAATCCGACACTAAATTAACAGAAAGAGCTGCTGGCAAGAAAGGTGCTGCGAAAAATGTGCGGAAACCTAAAATACGCAACTATAATGATACTGGGGTCCGGTGACAGTAGATGCCATTGTCATTGTGGGAACAGCTGTAGGATTGGCACCGACAGTTTGAAGTTATTAAAAAAAAATCTTTTTAAGATTATTATAGCCTGATCACATTCCATGTTCTTCCTACATGATTTCATTGAAAACTGCAGAAAGAAATGAGTATTAGTGTCAGTAGCTGATGATGTCTGGTAAATAGAATCTGTGTAATGAGGTTAATGTCTCGGTGTGGTAGGATGATCCATATCTGACCAAGTACTCATATATCTATCTCATTCTCACTGTGGGACGGATTGTTTGAATACAAGTGGACCAGTTAGAGCTTAATAGAAGATTTTGATACCTACACTACCAGGTATGTAACAGAAGATACCTTTACAGTTAGTCTGTGACAGATATATCATACCTACACTACCAGGTATGTAACAGGAGATACCTTTACTATTAGTCCGTGACAGATATATCATACCTACACTACCAGGTATGTAACAGGAGATACCTTTACAGTTAGTCTGTGACAGATATATCATACCTACACTACCAGGTATGTAACAGAAGATACCTTTAC